ATAGAAAAATAATAACAGCCACAGAAAAATGGATCACCAGCTTAAAGTGTTCATTTTTATGTCCCAATCAGCATCAGGCACTAGAAGTGGGGAGTAATTTGATTGCTAATCAGACTTAACAAAAGCAAAGTCCAACACTTACCTGTAGAGATCACTGAGTTATTATCTTAATTACATCTTCTCACTGGGACTTTACTGATGTTTTTTGTTGTTGTTGTTAGCACTGGCTTTTGTCTCCCATCCGAAATTTTGTTTTCAAATATCCAGTCCTTAAAATAGTAAGGACTTAATGTTTATCTCCCATCTCAAATATATATATATCCTCATTCTCAGCGTGGCAACATTAGGATGTGAGGTCTCCCGAAAGTGCTTAGACAAGAGTGGATAGATGCCTCAAGAGTACTATAGTGCTCTGAGAAAAAAGACCCTGAGAGTATTGACATTTCCTACATGGGAAGGTATAGCCAGAAGACATCTGAAAGACATCTGAAAGCCAGGAAGCAGGACTTTACAGACATTGAACTTGCCAGCACCTTGACCTTGAACTTAAGTCTCTCCAACTGTGGCCATGAATTTCTGTTTATACATCACCCAGCCTTTGGCATATTAATAGCTTGATTGGACTAAGATACCTATGATCATTGCAAATAAACAGACTCTTTCTTTTCCATGGCCCTGCATTTCTCTTGGAGATCATCTTAAGTTTTTGCTGGTTGCATTGATTTAGCAGGGCTGCCATGAGGGGGTGGCACAGACACGATGACGCACACAACAGAATTTATGTTGTCATAGTTATGGAAAATGGAAATCTGATCATGGAGGCCTGGTTGGAACAGGCAGGCCACCGAGGGCGTGGCCTAGAAGGTGGTATTCTTTGCTCCTGACCCCTCTCCTCTTTTTCTTCTTTCTGCCTCCATGGTATGAACAAGCTTTGTCTACCATCACTATCCTTATTGCCATTTCTGCCTTGGAGCCAGTCAACCACCTGAAATTGTGAGCCATAACAGACCTCTCTTCTTTTACATGAAGTGCTCATCAAAACTAATATTTCTAGAAATGAAAAGTCTCAAAATTTCACAGCCTTCAGCACAATTTCAGAATATTTGGGCCTGACTATAGAACTGAGTTGGAGAAATTGTATTTTCCCATCTCCCTGAACAACTGCAGTGTAGCTGTTAGTAATCCAAATAAGTTGGGAAAGCTCCACTTCGCCTCCTAGTTGAAAATGTTTTTTCCTCAGTAAAGAATCACAGAAAGAAAGTGAAATACTGCAGAAGACCTCATATGACAGCCCCTGGTTCTCTAAACCAGAAGTGTGCCAACCAGGATATGTACGGCCCTGGGGATACCCAAAGATCTCCCAGGGAAACTCAGAAAAGAATAACTTTAAGGGAATTAATTCTACTCTTCAACTTTCCTCTATACTGATTCAAAACTGATTTTCCTGAAAATACATTTCTGGCCATGCTGATTTCTACCTCCTCACTCATTTCTCTCCTCCTCTACAATTTGCTACTTCCAGTATGGAGATTAAACCAACAGCCTTGGCCCTACGCTACATCTCCTATACTAGGATATAGTATGTAGTATCAGAGTTACTTTGCATTAAGCTTTTAGGTTTTTGTTTTGAAATAGGACCTTGGTAAGTCACTCAATTGCAAAAGTGGGGTTCTGTCCTTCTGCCTTGGCATCACAGAGTTCTGAGGTTACAGGTATTTGCCAACACACTAGAGTTCCCACAACCATTTTGCAATTTTCTTTCTGTTTTTGCAGAATAAAGACACACTGTTGGCATCTGGTGTCTTATTAGGGTGCATTTGAGAAGCAAAGGGTCAATTTGAAGTATTGTCTAGATACCAATCCATTAAATGGCTTCAGTGACCTGGCAAGGAATCTGGTTACAAGTCTGATAGTTCCCAATCCTTTACCTTGAACATTATTGTGGGAAGAACTAATTATATTATCAAAACCTCACTGCAAACTTTTTAGTGATAAATCACTGGATGATTTTTTTTAAATATGTGTCTCAGAAAGGGCACAAAAATTTAAGCAACACTGCCGTAACAAAACCCTTGCTATTCCCGTGCACTTATAGGAATAAGTTTGTTAAGCAAAAGACAGATGTGGCATCCATCTCTTAAAAAGCATAATCTATAACATAAAATACTCAGAAAAAAGTCATGGCACATGACATATTGATTACATATTATTTAATGTGAGTGATTTTATTCTTACAGTTAATTGGCTAATATTAAATAGGGGATGCAGAGAAAGAACCCAATTTGAATTCAAATATTTAATATTTTGAAGTCTGAAATTCTGTGGCAAAGAGACAACTTTGGTGGTGGGTCAACCTTTGTCACTTTTGAGTCAGCAGCCTAAAAACTGGCAAGGTTACTGACAGTATCTTTGCTCTAAAGGCTAAGGACAGTTAGGGAAAGTCATGAAGATGTGCTAATTCTTTCCCTACTGCACTTCAGTGCGCTGTCACAACAGCAATCCTTCCTTAGGTTAAAAAAAAAAAAAAGCATAAACCAACACGGCTAAACAAGAAGGTTTCTAAGCCTTTGAACGATGCTTCAAAACATGCACTTGGGCATCTTTCCTTGTCACGAACAGTGATGCTCTCATTCTTCTTTCCTCAAAGAAAATTCACAGTTAAGTGTGACTATCTCTCCCCAGAGCCCTGTGCTTCTCTCACAGAGGCAGCCAACTTCACATGGATTCACTGATGCTCCTTGGAAGGAACCCAAAGAGCCGTGTCATTTTATCCTCATGCATGACTGAGGGGTATAAAATCCCCATTCCACCTCTAGGACGAATGCACAACCCACACGCACACAGTGCGGGTGAAGTCAGCAAGCTGGAGAGACTATCAATTGAAATTTTCCACTCTAAAACAATTTCATTAGAGGTGGCAGTGTTGGAAACAGTATTTTATAGTTGACTTCCGTCAAATTATGATGCAGCTAGGATTCAAAGTCTCTATTATCTTGGCAGAAGTTTTTAAGACCATTTTTATTTACTCCAAACTCTGAAGGAAGCTAGCACCGATCCTCGGCAATTTTAGATCAAGTGCTTCGTGCTGTAATTAAGTAAGCAAAGAAAACTCCGAGGAAACAGAGAAAGCATCAGGACATCACTTATTGATTGGTAGAATTTCAGGATGTAAAATGTGTTTTATTGTACAACTGCACTTTATTACCACTTCATCCTTACAAGGTAATAAGTACAAACAGTTTTGGTAATGATGGAAAAGTCTTCTCGGCTTTAATGAAACCTTTTATTTGCTGCTGAAACTTTTATTATATCTAAGTGGTAACACAGGCAAGAAAAATAATCACTACGTTTATTGGAGGGAAAACATTAACAATTTGAATGGTTTTGTTCTGGGGTGAATTTGAAGGCATTTAGATTTATTACATTTATGCTTACTATTTTCATTTCTTTTTGATCAATTAAAAAGCATAGACATATCTGCACAACCACAGAAATATGCTCTGATTATATTTGGATGTGTTGGGTAGTTACATACAGCAATGCACCAATTTGAGTTGGTTTGATCTAGATGAGAATATATAGGAACTTGGGAGCCCATACATGTATCCCCAGCTATCGCAGTGGAGTGACGGCGAGGTGCCCAGGGCCTAAAGCTGCCTGGGCTGTTTCTGTACCAGCCCTGACTCTTCCTAGCCGAGCCTCCTTTAAAAACCTGAGGGCACTCAGCTTCCTCATCGGTGAAGATGAGAGTGGCAGGTGTGAAGAGTCGAAAACACTTTGTGGAAAACGTGAATCAGGACATTGGTACGAGGTAAGCACTTAGTAAGTGCCACACACAAACATGGGTTTCAAATGTGAATGAAACTAGAAGCACCATCGGATGGCATCATTCATTCAACAATTGTCAAGTCTTACCCTATTCTGCACCCTGCCCTAGGTACAAAGGAAACAAAGATTAATAAGATGTAGCGTTCACTCTACAGGAATTTAGCATTTTAGTCCAAAATATTTGTTGCCATCTTCAATCCTACTTGAGGAGTATCCCAAAGCATACGCTTGCATTAAATCACAAAGTTTTCCATTTCCCCATGTGCTTGGAACTAACAGAACTTCAGAAAAATTTTGACTTCGGTGTCTGAAATCTTAATCATGCACCATTTAATAAGCAGCTTCAGGTTTTTGCACGTTTTAAAATAGATGATTAAATGGTCTAATCAGATTTTAACTTAGCCAAAAACTTGAAAAACAGGAAGACAACCATGACTGACACGTTCATTTTCCCAAATGCAGACATACTGCAAACAGCAGCTGCAGAAAAATAGTTCTATTTACATCCCATATGACCCATGGCCAACCAAAATTGCACATGAATCCAGCTCTGAAACACTGACGCGCCTAACCTAAATTCAATTTAAAATAAAATATGAAGCTCACTTAGCCATCGCTTCATCATTTTCCAGAAAGTTCTGAAACTGACTTCCAACATGGCACTTGACAGGGCCTTAGTTTTTTCAAACATTTTCACTTATGTCCTCGTGTTGGGAGAACTCATTAGAAAGCAAAATCTTTGCGTCTGACTGTATATCTCAAGAACCACTAAGGCGGTAATTCAGACCTCACAAACTCCAAATGATCTTAAATACGTGGTCCCCTCTACTAATTTGCTGCTCTTGAAAATGTTCCATAAATGCTATTAAAAAGGAAAGCATTTTCAAATGAGTTCTAAGATCAACTAGGATATTTATCTGCTTACTTGATGTATCATAATAAAAAGCTATCTCCTATGCATTACTTTGCTTAATTTAGAAGGAAATTGGATATTCTCCCTTCCACTAAAAGAATGAAGAGCTCTTTCGCTTTTATTTTAATAGGGAGGGGCAATAACCAATGATGACTGTGTTAACTTTGTAGAATACACTGAACACTGTCAAAATAGGTGTTGGGAGGCGGCCCCATCCCAAGAGTTAGTAGGTAAGATGGTGGTAAACACATAGGCACTCAGCTCTCTCCTCCTCCTGCTTTCTCTGCTGTGTCATATGACTTCCTTTACTTAAAATCCTTCTGAAAGCCCTCTGTGAGCCTTTGGGTACGGGGAAGATGAAAATTCTGACAGAGGGGCGTCCCTGCCAACCAGCGGGCCTTCCTCCCACCTGGATCATCCTGCGCAGCAAGCTGGCACAGGGAGAGCTCATCCGGCTTCCCCTGCCAAGCAGTGCGTATTTTGGTAACCTCTGGTTCTACACTGAAACCCATATGTTCCCCTGCAAAGGCTCTGCTTCCTTCCCAGCTGAGGTCTCTGCTTAACGTATGCATTTTTCACTCCGTTTTATTTTATTTTTTTTTTAATCTTTGCAGGCTGAACATTTCCAAAGGGACGAACGACAGTGGAAGAAGTTAAGGATGAGGAGGAGGGAGGAAGAATGCCTAGGATTTCTGCCATCTTCGCTGCAGCCCTGAATCCCCTTTACTTCTTTGATGCGGGCTACAGTCCCCAGCCCTCCCCCACCCTCCCCTGCCCTCTGCAGCAGGAGGGTGGAGGAGGGGCCGCTGGCTGGAGCTCCATGTGGCAGAGCTGTAGCTGTCACTTACCCAGCGGGGTGAGAAAGGCTCATTTTTGCAGGATCTTGCTGGACCCCGGCAGGTGCTGCCCGGCCCGGGTGCGCGCTGCGGTGGCTTTGGCTGCAGGAGCCCTGAGCGGCCGGGCGTCTCCACAGCTACTGCCGGTTGCTAAGGGAGGAGGTGCGGGCGCAGAGGCACCACTGGAACCAAGCCTGGGAAGCCGCAAAACGAAGCCAACTTCCACCAGTTTTTCTGGGCCGCAGTGTGGGAGGAGACCCAGACCCGGTCCCTCTGTGTTGTTCTGGGGCGCGGGTTCCCAAGCACCTGTAATATGCAAACACAAACACACACGCGAGCGGGCACACACACACACACACACACACACACACACACAGAGCTAGGCTGGGGCGCTTCCTGCTGGGCCCAAGGGAAGGAAGGACTCAGGGTACCTGCAGGGACAGGGACAGGAAATGCCATGGTTTCCATTCCTAAAATAGACACCAACAGCGTGTTCAAGAGACAGAAAAAGGGCACCTTTCTCAACATGGTTGTGAATTTGTTTCTGCCTCAGAAGGCCTGGCCTTCCGGCTTGGAGATGCCCCATCCTTGCTCCTCCCCGAGGTCTCTGCCGGTCAGAAATGGAAGATTTGCAGTTACACAGGAAAGGGGACTGGGACAGTGCATACCTTGGGACCCAACACTGTGACGCAGGGCTTAGAGAAAGGAGCCTGAAAGTCGTAAGAAGGCCTTGGTAGGCGAGGCAGACTTCAGCACTGGGGTCCACTCACCTACTACTGCTGCAGGCCTTGTGCTGGGTGACTTAAACCCTGGTTTCACCGATAGGGTGGGCCCCACAGGGGAGACTGTGCTCACTGTGGGTCTCTATTGTAGTTCACACACCGTCACCCCCACCCATGCCACCTTTTTAATGATGTTCTGCTTTTCTGAGTGTCATGAAGGCCACCTGGGCATGGCAGTGTCCCATTTCCTTAGCATGATATGTGAGTATCCTTCATCAGCCTGCACCTGGGCCACTTTCTCCCCTCCACTACCTGAAACTCTAGCAAAATCCAGCTCTCACACTTTCCCTCTCCTGGAAATATAATTCTACTCTTGACTACCTAGAAAATGTCTGCTTATTCTTCAGCACTCAGCTCGGACCCTGCCTGCCTTGAGATCTTCCAATCAGCTTGAGATTCCTGCCAGGGCTGGCCTTGGCTTGTGCACCCATGGGCTTGAACAAACATCTGTCTTACACTCATCCATCTGGACTGCACTTGCCTGTGCAAGGAGCTGCCTTTGAACCACTCAGACGCAAGCCTCTCTATTTTGTACATTGATTGTGTTTTTCTATGTTTCCAGAAGCAAGCTGCAATTTAACAAATGTTTGGAGCAAAAAAGGAAGGAAAAGAAATGTCTTCTAAGTGGTAGGATTTTTATTGAGTACTTAGTAAATGCTTCTCTCAGCCTTTTATGGAGCACTTACTTACTGTCCCTTATCTCATTTAATCTTCCTCTCTACTCCCTGAAATAGGATTTCGCCTCCATTTCATAGCTATCCTAACTGGGACACAGAAAAGTTCATTATTTTGCCTGAAGTCTATAAGCGGAAAACTTGGGATACAAACCCCGATCTGTCTGAGTCCAGGACTGTAATAATTTTAACAATCGTAATAAGATTTTTTTTTTCTCCACATATGCCTGTAAGTTGCTACCAAAGTCAGATTTCTATACCAAGAGACATATGAGGAGGCGAGAGGGAATGAAAAAAGAAGAAAAAAAAGATGCTAACTCAGTATCTCAGCTCTCGAGACTGAAGGGTTCAAAGCTGCTGTGGGAACCAGATGGCTGAAACTAGAGAGACAGAAGTCACTATTTTCCCCATGTATTTCCTCTCCCACATTGGACCATGGGTCCCATTTGAGGTTGCCCTTAATGTTCACAATTATTGGATTTCACCTGGATAAAAATTGGAGGGAAGGGGAAGGATGAGAGAGAGACATAATTTTCTCCAGGTGCTTTCAGTCCCTCAGTCTCCCAGACCACCTCTTACAGAAAGAAGTCTTACTTGTTTCATATTAATTCATTTTTTTTTCCAAATAGAAAATGGTATTCTCTCACTGGTAGAATGAGAAAGAAAATTCAAATACACTATTTAGATACTTAGGATTCTGTAGAAATGATTCCCCGGCACTCTACAGAGAGTGAGGTACCCTCAGCAGCATGTATTAATTCATAAATGGGGTTTGAGTTCTCCACCCCTGTGAGCTGTACAATTTCACATCCCTGATGAAAACTGCAAGGAAGCTACTAATTTTCACTTCTGAAAATGCTCACTGTGAAAATGCATTGGGAATTTAGCCAGAAGGAATTTTTATGTTAATTTCTAGTATGGAGAAAGGAGCAGGGAATAAAGAAAAAGAAAAAATAAAGTAAAATAAAATAAATTCAACTGTTTCAAGACCAAATAGTCACCGGAGTTATTTGCATTTTCTCTCAGGAAAATAAGCACCCAGATGTCTGCAGCTGTGTCATAAATTTCTAAAACGATTTCTGTTGTGTAGAAAGACCTTTGAGGTGGGAGCTGGGGGTCAGAAGATGGAGAGAAGCAGAAGAGGAGGAAAGGCAGGAGTACATTTAACCTGCTGGTTGGCTTTCCTCTTGAGGTGAACTGGAGCTCCACTAGGGAACCACGGATCTGACCTATCAGAGATTGTTTTAGATCAGGATGGGTAACCTATGGTTCTCACTCAGTGCAGCCCAGTGCCTGTTTATTACAGCCTGCAAGCAAGAATTGTGCTGCATTCACAATGCTTCGGAAAAATAATCAGAAGAAGGATGATAGCATGCAGTAGGTGAAAAACTATTCAAGATTCACACTTCAATATTCAGGAATAAAGCTTCATTGGAAGGAGACCACACTTACCTGTGTGCAAATCACTAATTTATATTGCAATTATCTACTCTGCTCTGACACAGAAGGAAAGTTGAGGAGCTGCTGCAGTCATCCCATGGCCCCTGGACCTGAAATGTTTATTATCTGTCCCTTTACGGGACATGTTTGTATACCTTCAGCCCATGTCATCTCCAGCACCAGGGAGGAGATTTACCCAGGGACTTGAAGAACAGGTGCCACAGTTGCCACCCTTGTACCTATCGCAGTAGTTCTCCCTGAGAAGATCCTGAGTAAGCAAATGAAGGAAGGAAGGAACAAATTGGAGAAATAGGTTTATCTTCCTTGTGAAAGAAAAGATGAGGTAGTCAGAACTTTCATATATAACCAAAGTGTTTGGGTGAGGTCTTTGAGACAGTGCTACTCACAGGCTCAAAGAACCAGGGTCTTTGAGAGCATATTAATTTGATGTGCCCCAGGCTTACCTACTTTTATACACACTACATAAAATCCCAGTGGGAGGCGGCAAATGCAGGCATTTTCTCAGGACATGCTTAATAGTACTGACGGCTAAGTCTACAAGAGAGCTTCGAACACCTTGCATCCTCCAAGCTAGTTTTGTGTGCTCAAAGATGTAACATGGAGAAGCTGCAGTCAAGTTACAAGGATTTAACCTCAAACCATTGAAAGAATGAACTTAACACCCTGAGATTGTTTCCCAGATGTTCTGGTCTGATTTCTTCCAAATGCATATTGTTGAAACTTTTAATCACTACTATGGTGATGTTAAGAGGTGATTAAATCATGAAGGCAAGCTCAAGGATGAGTACGCTCCCTTCCCTGCCTTGTTATATGTGGATGCTGAATTTGGCAGCTCCAGGGGATGTGACATTATGGTACTATGCTGGAAGCAGAGGGCAGTGCAAAGCAGACACCAAACCCTGAGCTTGGACTTCCCTGGCTCTGGACTCCCTGTTCTGGTTGATACATTGTATCAATTTGAGATTAGAAGTTTAACTGAGAGACTCAGCCTGGAACCAGGATTTACTTTGTAAATATTCTCATCCTGTGCAAAAAGAGGACAAGGAGATTTTTGAGTGCTGAACCCGCCCTGTAGAGGGTGGGAATGGTGGGTGTACAATATAAGAGGGAAACAGAGGCATTCGCTTCACTGTTTTGCTCTGACTGCTGCCTTGAAGTGTTGCCCCTGTGTCATGCTGCCGTCCTTCAACAGCCAGCTAATTATGGACTGAAACCTCAAAACCCTGGAAGCTAAATAAACCTTTCCTTCCTTAATTTTGGATGTTGGGTATTTTGCCCCAGTAATGAGAGAAAAGTAATTGTGAAAAATGTTTCCATTGTTTATAAGTTGCCCAGCCCATGGTTTTGTTTGTTGATTTGTTTGTTTGTGGTCCTGAATATGGAGTCCAGGAGCTGCTCCACCACTGAGCTACAACCACAGCCCCTTTTTTTAAGTTTGTGTATCTTATAAATTGCCCAGATCAGTCTCAAACTTGATACACTCCTGCGTCGGTCTCCCAAAGAGCTGGAATTGCAGGTTGTGATATTTCACTATATAGCCTTCCCTAAAACATCCAATTCTATTGAGCTACCCCATTAAACATCGCATTAGATATAGGAAAGGGTACAAGGCCATATACAATGGGTAGAGTGACAAACTCAAAGGGACATTCCTAATGTAGAGTTTTGAGTACTCCAGATAGTCAATGTATCTAGATCTTTCCATCCCTCTTCCTTAGATGGATCAAATCTGCAAACAAATCAGCTGGAATGCCTATGTTCAATGGACTTATTTAGTGACCATGCAAAGTCAGTTGAATTTGCTAACCTGAGATCTCAGAGATTATCACAATTCCTGCCTCCCCTCAAAGCTGAAGTCTCTTAGCCATTAGGATAACAGACAATAAGGGACAAAGCAAAAGGCTAAATGCTGTGATGGAAGTAGGCCTTCCTATCCCTCCTACCCCCACCATTTCCGCCTATGTACCTACAGTTGTGAGGGTAAATAGCACTTCTCACTGGTCGTGTTATTATTTCCTCTGGCCTGTGTGATGGTTAGCTTTTGGTATGAGTGTGATTGCATTAAGGGATGTCTAGATGGGAGGCAAAACGCTCTTTCTGGTCCTTCCATTTCCAGGCAATTTTGGCATGTGAAAACTACCTTCAAATGGGTGGGCACCTGCACATAGGCTGGGGTCCCAGGTAGAAAATGAAAATGTAAAGAAGGAGGATCCCCAGCTCTTTCCTTTCTAGAGTTGGATGCTCTTCTATTTGGGCTTCAGAGCGCCTGGGGTTCAGATGGTAGAACTTGCAGCTGGCCTCTTGCCTCAATAAGGAAACTGCATGTCAGTTTCTCTCGTTCTGAAGCCTCTGAATTGGAACTGAGCCCCATTACCAGTTTATCTGATTATTCAGCTAGCAGACAGCCTGCTCTGGGACTGCTCAGCCTCCATAATCCTACCAGTGAATTCTTCTAATAAATAAACCCTTTTCTTTGAAAATTTCTCAGTTGCAAGTACTGTGTGGTAACAACAGAAAATGTACTAAGACATTTCAAAACTCTGATTATTTCAACTCTCTTGTCCCAGGATTCTATACCAGAAGAGATGGGAAAAAAACAAGAGTAAGAGAGAAACAGAGCCTGCTACAGACACATAACTGCTAGGAAATGTATAAGAAAAATAATAAACACACCTTGTTATGGTGCAGATTGAGAATGACCCCAAAACTCTCTTGCATCAGAGGCAAGGTTTGGAAGGTGATTGGAATTTTGGAGGCTAGAATGTCTAGTTAGAGGTGAGTCACAGGAGGACGTGACCTGAAAGGTGTCTTTCTTCCGCATTCTTCCTTCGGTCTCTGCTTTCTGGCTGCTATGATGTGAGCAGCTTTCCTCTTCCCTGGCCCTTCTACAGCATTATTTCTGCCTTGGAGGCCGGCCATCAGGAACCCTAACCATGGGCCACAATAAACCTCTCCTGCTTTGAGCTGCCGCTGTCCGGACCGTCCAGTATTGTGTCTCAGCAACAAGGAAAGCGATACGACACAGCCTCTGCCCCCAACCCCAAAATTTATCTAAAGGAATTCAAAAGTTCCAAACTCAGATACTAGATTGTGGGGGAGCTTGCTGAGAAGATGAGAATGGGGTAAGAGGCAAGTGTTGCCCGAGCTCAAATTTTCTTTTCTAAGTCTTTCCAGCTGAGTGTGGGCTCAGCTGGTGACTGTAGACCCTGTTCTGACTTCTGCTGTCCACATAAATGGAGGTTGTGATCTGGACAGAAATAAAGGAGAGCGCTGAAAGGGGAAGAGGCAGGAAAAGATTTGATGAGAAGGATGAATGAGGTGCAAACAGGGCTCTGGTGGATCAAGCTGCTGCTGTAGGGCCACCTCCCTTTCCAATGTGCATTGTCTGTACAACTCAGGCCAGGTGTGCAGATACTAAATTATCCAAGTGAATGTCCCATTCGTATCCTCCTCCCCCAGGGCAAGTTCATGCTGCTCAGTGCCAAAAATATCTCAGGAATTTAGGGAGTATTTCATAAGCATTTGTTGAGTGAATAACAGGAGTGTAGTCCATATTTTTCTTGACACTTGGAGATATAAAGAATATGACACATAAGAATCATGAATAAGTATTTCCCTAGCTCTGGCCCTACCCACACATGAGTGCATTTGTTAGATGTCAAGATGCTCACCATGTAGCTAATTGTCCACCATTAGGCAAAAATGCCTTCAAAGCCACAAATACTGAATTTGGGGAGAGGAGCTGAGTAGCTGTGTACCTGTGGCAAGCTGCAGTGGAAGGCGAGGTTTGCTTACTTGATCCAGTGTTTCAGAAGCAGCTGCAGATAGCTAGCATTACGGTTCACTGTTGGAGAGCATCCTCAGAGGACATGGGGGGGGGTGCACAGAATTAAGGTTCTACCCTGGCTTATCACAGGGTTTACTGTGCTTCACTCCTGAATCCTCATGGCTAGGAAGAGGGTATTATTATTTTTATCCTCATTTTATACATGAAGAAGCCAAAGCCCCCACAAGTTACATACCAGCTGGTAAGAGGACTACTGAGATTCAAATACTGAGTTCTCTGGGATTCCACACTCTTAAAACACTTTGCCGCATCCCTTCCCACTCTGAGAGACGAGAAGGCCTAAGAACATAAGGAGGGGCAGGGACAGTGAGGTCACTTGCCTTACCCTTCATTCCTCTTCTCATTCACAGCAGCTCAACCATCTGGTGAGGAGATACAGGAATTTCTTCCTCCTTTAAAAAAGCTAACAAACAAAACCATTTATCTGTTTTCTGACAGGGGAAATAGAATATTCCACTCGCTCTCACCTCCAGAGCAGCCATCTCTATTTTTAATGGGCTCATTTGGTTTAAGTGGTACCGAATGTGCTTCTTTCTTGTAAAGCAGCCCAGCCAAGGTGCTCCAGCACTCTGCTATCATCAACTCTGGGCAATTATCTTGTGTGAGCCCTTGAAGCACAGGGAGAGAAGATCATTTCCATCGCTTAAACTTAGATAAGAAGATTCACTGCCTGGAGAAGACTGACC